GAAGTGACAGAAGTTCTCCAGTAGGGAGTCTTTTCTGATCGCCTTGAAGAGCTCATATGGCTGAACATTGTCCGGGTTGACGTCCGGATGGGTGAAGTATATGGTGAAATTGTAAAGCGGTGGAAGAGGACACGAATCCAGGCCCTGGAACACCATGAGCGCGTTGTGCCTGAAAGGAAGAACATGAGTTATCCTGCGTGGGTGGCGAGCCACTCTGCGGCCTCCACGGGTTACGGGCATGGAGGGATCGGGTTGGGTAGAGCTGATGGTCGTGGTCTGATGAGGGTTACACGAGGTAGTGTTGGCGTGCACATGGACAGGTCACATGTCGGCTGGTTGAGCTACGTGCGCCAAGCGCAAATGAAATTGGACTCCTTCGTCCGGACCTTCTTGATTGCAACGCCCTCTGAATTCCATCATAAATTGTGTCTAGATAACTGCTCTGTGTGATCATGAGTGATCCAAGCAGGCTGTATATGGGTTGTTGCCTAGATGATGGGTGACAGGCTGCCACTGGTGGGCAATTCGGGAGTAGCATGGTCGGCGCGCACGTCCGGCTTGTCGCCCAAGGCCTCTGAACCAAGACAGAGCTTCCGCTCCAGCAACAGCCCTGGAGCTACCGCCCGGATCAATCACGAAGTCCTTCCAAACTTATGTACCATGTTTTGACATCAGCAGATTGACCGTACTGCGCTAATTATGTGGTCCACTCCGAACCAATGCGATAGGAATACCCCCCGAAATCCGCTTCCAATGAGCTACACGACACGTCCACATGAGCACCCGTGTAGGCATCTCTGCAATCGTATCGCAGCACATTTCCACCATCGTATACCCAGCGCATCTACGGACAAGCTCGTGAGAACCGCTCGACCGCGCGTCACAATCCCGTCTATCGCCATTGGACTGCCTCGATCACAACTAGGGGCGGAGACACATTATATTGGTACTTGGTCGACATGATCAAGTCCACCGGATAGGTTTCTGCGAGAGCGACGCTCCAGAGCCGACACCACAACTTGCTTTTAGGTGCGCTCAGTACCCTGCGCCTTGGGATGAGGCTGGAAGCGAAGCTGGTCGCGGCGAGGCGCGCATACAGCACATGCACGAGCGCCTATGGCATCAGCTCATCGCAGCGGTACGCAATCGTAGGCATGAAGCTCGGTCATTTCAAGGTTGCGAGATCCCTGGATATACATAGTTCTGGTGGCTGGCCGCACGCATACATCGACACGAGCACTGCGCATCTATCACAAGGACCGATAGTACAAGGTTCTGAGGCTCGTTCGACTTCGATGCGTTATCTGAATTGGCACTTGGAAGCATTGCTCGTGTCATGACTTCGAATGCTTTTGACAGCTCTAGCACTTTGAGCGAAAGTGCTCTGCTTCACTTCTCGCCGACCTTCCCAGTTATCGAATGTGTCGCCATATACCCTCGTGTTGGCTTTCGGCATGGCCTCTCAAGACCATACTTAATGATTGATAATACTAAGTCTTGCTGAGCTACCTAGAAGAGTCCTCCTTCATGATCCACTCCTCACTAGTCGCATCATTGGTGACAACACACGGCGAATCATAACCATCGCGCAACTTCTCATCTCTGTTCACTGAGATACCAGACCCAGACACGGTGCCGATGCTAGCTTGTGGCACCTCTTTTCCGCCTGCAGCCCAAGCGCGGGCACCTCCCGCATGTTCCGCATCCGTGAACTCGTAATCTTCACCACGGTCCGACGGCTTGCCCGCGCCTAGGTTGAATAGTTTGGAGTTTCCAAACCGAAAGGGAGACTTGCGCCAGGATGCTCCGCCAGAACTCGCTGCGTTGCCGCTGTGTGCCGCCGATGGTCCAGCAAAGATTCCAGGAGCCATCATTGCTAGGAACGGACGGAGACAAGGTAGACAGCCGCTCATGATACCAACGTTGAACTCGATGCACAATGCCATGGTGACGCGAGACGCAACCCCTGCAAGAAGGCTATGTTAGCACGACGACAGTCTATTGTGGAACGATACTGCTCACATGTCGTATCCCATGTCTTGAAGTAATCCTGCGACCAAACGACCTTCAAGATGCCGCCGACGCATGTCAGGACGCCGAAAGAAAAAACCGCGACCAGATGCACGCGTTGAGACAGCGGTAACTTGACCTGCCACAGTGGCGCGACTGGCCAAAGGAACACCACAAAGTCCGACACTACATTGCAGATGCCGCTCGCAGTGAGTAATTGATGCGAGTCCAAACATACTTTGTCGATAATCGTGAAATCCCAGAGTGACTGGATTGGACTGGGACAGGAAAGTCAGTCAAGATCAAACATCAGCCCTGGGGTTATGACCTACACGCATTGCAGAATGTAGAGTGCCGACGAAATGACACCCCACAGAAGCTGGTACCCAATCATCGTCCAACAGAACAATTTGTTCGTGCGCGAGGGGAAAAGCTTCAGGTACGTCATACAGACGGAAAGCTTTGTGAGTGTCATGGAAGCATTGTACATTGTGACACTCGCGACATTGTACTAGAAGCCATTAGTGTGTATGTTGAAACCACTGGTAATTGCTTACTTTTGCAGAGCTCACAAACGTCATCGGGTTCACATCATACAGATGACGCCCAAGAGAGTTGGTGGTCGTAACTAATAAGCAGACAGAAATCGCCAAGGCGAAGACCTACACATGTTAGATACGTAGCATAAGAGCATAGGGCGAACATACCGCTGCGCCAACCATGATCCAGTCATCGGCTCCTACACCTGACTTCTGATTCGCCCGAACGTAGATTCTGCCAGCGACAAAAAGCACCATTGGGATGGTTGTCGCGTATATTGCAGCTTCGACACTGCCCCTTTGCGAGACTGGGTCGACATAGTTGGGTATTGGCCATGTTGCGATGATGGCTGGCGTGAGCGCGGTTCCAGAAGCCATAACAACGCCGGGATCAAGGTTCGTGATATGGGTATGTTTGGACTTGTAGTGCCAGAATGTTTGGTTTGTATCACGAATTCGGAGGCCACGTGCACGGCATGTATTAGTATTGTTGAAATTCCAAGACAGACCTTGAACTGCAAAGACAGTGAAGGCTAAGTATCTCGATGCAAGGTGGTGCTGACCTTGATTTCAGATCGCTTGCGGGTTCTGGTGTGTGGCTCAACCTTGCTCAACACGTCGTGACTGACACCGGATCTGACTCCGCCGTTAGACAGCGTGCTATCAACGCCATTTCATTAGTGCACGCCATCGTGCCCAGTACGCGAAAGTAACCGTCGAGTCGCCAATCAATCTACCGTGATAGACGATCAGGCCTCCTCTTTGCACCGATTTCAAGTTTACGGGCTTTTGCATGATTGCCATCTAACCACGTTATTAGTAGATCAGTGCGTCAGCGATCGGCTTGTGGGTAATGTATATACTTGCATCGACTACTGAGACTAGTGTCCCCTTTTCGAGAACCATCCGGGGCAATTCGTCTGTCGGGTGATGAACCTGGCAATATATGATACATTTTCATTTGTGAGAGTCGAGTCGTCGTCACATCAGACGTATACAGCAGTACAAGCAACGAAGAATAGAGCGCACCAAGTTCTATAATGTGACAGGTCCACTCGACAATTACGAAAGAGTATAGTCAAAACATGTGCATCTACCTAGGCATGCTTGCAGCCGGTTGCACTCATCTCTCGCGCCATCTCATACAGATATCATCGAGATGCGGCCTCGCCAATCGGACTCGGGACCGCGAGCGTGTGGATATGCGTGAAATCTCCGTTCCACGGTCCGGTGCACCTGAATAGCCCGCTGTCTAGGCTGGTACCTGACGCTAACTCACCTGAAACACATGCGGGTCATCTGAGCCGCCACAAGTCGAAGCACGCAAACGAGCTGTATGACATGCTCTTGGGACAGTTTACCACGTTTATTAGGTACGAAGGAGCTCCTCGTGGTCGCATGATCCTCAGCGTCATGCCCTCGCTGGAGGACCGCGATAGAAACCTAGATGTCATTGGCCTCTGAAGATGAAATCGACTGCTTGCGTTCCCTGCCCAGGTGATCAAGCCTAGCAACTTACAACCCGCTCGCAACATCCGTCTACGAGTCAAGAAGCGCGCGATTTCGGTATGAGAAACTGGTAACGCGCAGAATGCTTATCGCGCATGATGGCTACCTGGTGGCTGGGTGGAACGCCCCCGCTCCCGCAATTCCCGCGGCGCTCTTTCCGATTGGGTCGTACTCAAGTTTGCGGTTTCCCCGATCTGTACTATTGTATAGTCGCCGACATGCTGGATGATAATATCCCTTTGCGTCCCCCGCAATCACTATGTTAGGCAACTATGCGTTGGTATGGGGGGCCTTGGGCCGTCAACTCTGTTTATGCTCTGCTGCGTGGCTGCTCCCCGATGTTGGACCCTCGAACTGTTATTGAACACTGAGATGGGTTACTGGCCTTCCCTGACAGATACCTCACATCCACTTGTTCAGACCGCGTAGGTATTTGGAAAGTGTTTCATACCGAGTGGCACAGCGGAGGACACTAAAATGACGAAAGACCACGATGCGTTCAAGGCTGTCGAACAGCAAGCCACCGCTAGCACAACTCAACATTAATAATAGGCCGCTTGTGATCTACATACACCTTAGGTATCACCGCATGAGCAGCAAAACTTAGGTACCTGCTGAGCACTTTCGCCGAAAGATACACATCCAAGGCTACAGTAGTCTCATGCAATCTCGTCCGCACCTGATATGCACCGAGCGCAATTTAACACTTCACCAGCTGGACTGCACATTTGCCGCTGCGGTTCACTGGAATCGATCCTTGATTTATAGTGTGTAGCAAAGTAGACTTCCAACGTACGAGCGATAGTCTGAAGCAGTCAACCCAGATTTGAGCTACGTCAAGCATGCTGCGCAGTTGAAACTACCTGTTTGTACTTCTTCCAAGCGACTCTCTTGCATACCATGCAGAATACCCCTTCCATCTCCATGCCGTACATCCATCGTTCAACGCGTACCGTCATGCCCGCTTGAAACATCCACCTTCCGCCCAAGAGCGACCCCGTTGCTGATGTCTATAGCCTTTGACTGCGTCTCTTCCACATCCTCTAGTTCCACACCCTTGAAGACATACGACCCCATACAAACAACAAAGCCTGCCAATTCGAGGGACACTCCCTGCACCGTGCGAAAATGAATGTGTAACATCGTATCCCAGCCCGCAGGATCAATATGCGTCCAATGCAAGCGCAGTGATCGCGTAAGAACGACGATGCCGAGAACGACGAGCGATAGACCAGGTATATACGCGTAGCGCCACGGAATGAGCTTAGCGATGCTCCGGAGGACCTTGTTTGTGCGCTGTTCGGAATCGGTCATGACTATGTGCCTTCCTCTCACATCTGGGAACTGCAGGTCCCTGAAGGTAAGCCAGACCACACAGAGATGGGCGCCGGCTTGAGATACGAAGTACCCAAACACGAGGACGAGCCAGATCAAGAATTTGTAGTATCCGCCTGGGTCCTGGTGCGTGCAAACTGTGTGCAATGCGTGGCCGAAGGTGAGGAAACCGAGCAGCAGGATGTACAGGCCGGGTATGTAGAGGTAGCGGAAGGGGATGCGATAGAGGACTTGGAACGTTACACTGTTTGTTGTTGAGGTGTCGTCCATCTTCAATCGCGTGTAGATGTGTTGTAGATGCGTGGGAGATGTGTCGTGTATTCTGGTAGATAGTCGCCCCTCCGGATCAGACGGCACAGTGGTTCGAGGAAGGCATGCGAGCTGTGCCGCATAGCCTCGTTGAAGACGATAATCAGTATGACAAACTGCGACTGAAGGCACGTCTTGTAAGCTAACCGGTAAGACGCTATCAATTGGTTTATTCCGCACCCGATTGTAACTGCCACCTGACAGAGTCAGTGCGACTCAGCTCACTGAACGATGTGGCGACCAGTCTCACGAATGCAAGATTGTCGGTCAGCCTGAGGTCTCTGCAGTCATCAGCAAGCAGTCTATATGAGGACCCAGAACCCGATTCATGCGATCTCAACACCACTGCTATGCGTTGATCAACCCCAGTACAAAGATGGCTGGGGTCTAGCGGCACTGCGCACTTGCTCTTCCCATTCAGCACAATCTCTTCGGGGTTTGGAGGCAGGGGCACAATCGCGCAGCCTTGCTTCTCGAATTGGTCAGTGAACTTTCGATCTAGGAATGGATAATGGAAAGCCTGAAGTTGGTGAAGCGTAAGATGCCCAACCAGGACAAAAGCTCGGTTGTTTGAACTCCCGCAACACACACTGGATCCACGATGATTGAATCCGCTTATTATGTAATGGAAGGGATGAGAAAGACGTTGATTGATTAGAAACCGAGCCCGGTTTTTACGACACTTTCATGATCGTAGTGTGTTGAAGCCTAGTGAATGGTAAAAGGACACCAAACGGATTGCCCGTAATGGCCTGCACTCATGTGCAGTGTATCGGCTCGCTACTAGATGAAAGCCTTCTGAAACTCGTCGTGGCGCCGCTCACGATGCCTGTGGCGGTCTCCATCGCGCTCCCTGCTCTTGCTATGAGCTCGTCGCTTGTCGCTGCGATGCGAAGACCTATGCTCATGCCTGTCACGGCTACGACTCGGGCTCCTATGGCGATGCTTCTGGCGCGAGGATGAGCAGGCCTCCTTCTTGGGTGTCTGATGCTCGTCATCTTCCACCTCCCGCCTCTTCCTTTTCAGATGCCGACTCCTTCTCTCCTCCCGCTCTTGGGCTGACCGTAGCTCCATTAGTTCACGGTCGCGTTCTGCAGCCCATTGCTTCCTATCCTGCTTCGACTTCTTCAGTTGTGCCTGCGCTTTCTGCATGAATGCGAAAGGGTCGTTCGTCGATATGCGCGCCTGCTCCCGTTCTTTGCGACGCGGGTCCTCGTTTCCCCAGACGTTTTTGTTTGTGAAGCCTTCATAGAGTGCCACATCTTGCTTCTCACCTGTAGTGGGTGCAGGCTTTTGTACGGCAGCGTACCAGGGTCGGTCGATACCACCCCTTCCTGCTGCATTGGAGAAGCGCATTGTGAATTGGTCTTCGATGGCCTTTTCTTTCCTGCGTTTCTCCTTCTCTGCGTCCGCATTCCTCCCACACTTGATGGCCTCTTTCATGTCCACCGGGAACAAGTCAATGTGGCCAGTGTGGTCCTCCAACGGGGCATCGGATGCGGTGCTCCGTAGCTTCAGCACTTTCGGGTCTTTTGCCTCTTCGTCAGGCCGAGCCGTGATGGACTTGGCCATGCGTATATCAGCGTCGGTATCATCATCACCCGCAAGCCTCCTCCTCTTTCTGTCATGACCGCGATCATCCGTGTTGCCTGAGCGCCTTGATGACGGCGCCTTTGTGGGTTCTTCTGCTGGCAATGGTGGGGGCGTCCGGCCTCGAAGGATGGCGGCGCGTCGCTCAGCATCGAGTTCTTGCTTGCGCTGGTCATCAGCGGCTTCGCGGGCAGCAGCGGCGGCCTCGTCGGCCTTGACCCGCGCGATGTTGTCGGAGTTGTAGACGTTCCATGACTTCTTGCCTAGCAGATGCCTGTGGACTGTAAGCGACTGCGTGTGCAAAAACTGTGGTGATACTATACTGACAAAGGCATGGTGATAGACCTCAAGGACACAGAATCAGAGAATGAAGTGTGCCGCACATGGTCGGACTCGCAGGCTTCTTAACTGTGGGCAGCGAGGTCGGGTGCGGAAACATCGCGGTACCCGTCGACGCGAACGGGAGCTGCCTTGCATTAGCGTCAAGCGGGGAGGCAAGCGCAAACCATGGTGCCTGCCTTCATCCCAGCTCCCCCACACTGCTATTGGCATAGACCAAAAAGGCGACTGGGGCTTTTTCCCAAATCTATCGCGTTTACGGTGTCGATCTGGTCTCGTTCTCCTGAACCAACGCTTGCAATTGTGTCGTTGCTTCTTCCTAGCGTGCGTCCACTCGCGGAAGGTTGTCCCAACCTCTCTGGGCGCGTCGTCTAGACCTCTGCATGAGCTCCCAAGACGCGATCCCTGCCTACATAACAGGACGTGTAAGACCATGTACTACTTGCAACTAAAACTTTGCTGAAGACGCCATCATCCGCACCAATGCTTGCATCCTCGTTCGGTACATCCTAGCTAATCATTGATTGTTGCTTTTTGGCTCCTTCCTACCGCGGCACTCCTCTTCCGAAACGGAGACTTTAGACGAAAAGCACTTCACCTTCACCATGCCAACCTGGCTCGTTCACGGCTTTCGGTGGCCCCGCGCCCAGATTCGGATCCATGTCATTCTGCAAAATCTCGACGATGCTGCACCGGAATGGCTAATGGCTCCTGCCACTACAGCCTGTCTGATACAGAACTTCAAGAGCCAATGGCCCCAAGAGATGGCTGCGCTACCTGATTTACGCTTCATCGAACAGTACGATCCCGATGATCTCACCGTCAAGGATCAGCCATACGCCTACGTATGCGATGTAGTGCATGAGATCAAGCTCGGGGTAGATGTGGAGGAGATGAGGGGAGCGGGGCTGGGGGACGACCAGTGGGCGGCCATTGCGGACCTCCGGGACAAGGTGGCACCAGGAGAGAAATTGGGCTGGTTTGTAGTAGTCAACGGCGATATCGAGAGATGGGCTCCGCCGCTGGAGGAAGAAGACGACGATATCACTCCAGAGGCCAGCCATGTATCAAGTCACAGGAGCAGCATGGCACGATCAGACTCAACCCGCAACAAGGAACAGGAACGCCCTTCTTCCAGCCGGAGTTTCAAGAAGTGGTTTGGAGGGAAATTGAGGAAAACGAAGAGGTAAGATGAGCCATAACAAGATTGGTGCAGACGTATGCTGACCTGTTGTAGCGGAAGGAACCTGAGAGGCGATACACCAGAGGAGCCGGTTCCACCATTACCGCCAATGTCACCCCGCTATGCCCTTCAAGCTTCAAACGGAAAGGCGCCCGCACAGAAGAAGACGGCATCGTAATTGCTGATGATAGACGAGTTGATGAGCATGGTGTATCACGTGGTAACGAATAGATATGCGTGTGGTTGCTGGAATACCTAGGTACTATTTCGTGCAGCAGTTTGTAGTCAGAATACAGATAGTTCTTTCATTCTGTCTCCAACCGATGGTCTGGGTACACCGCTAGCTGTAGCAAGGCTTACTCATAGCCATTGTGCATGTGTCTTACTGTGTGTGCTCGTCGCAAACTCACCTTTTGGGTTAGCGTTGGCTGAGTTTCGCGCACGTGACACGCGATTGCCTAGTTCAAATTATTATCCAAGTCGCGACCAACGATTCAAACACGCCGCCTCGGCACCACTGCCACACAATTTATTGCTGATTCCACTAGGAAATTCCCCACTCGCGACCACCGACTCTCTCCCTGTGATACCGCCACAGTTTCCGTTAGACCGCTGCTCCGTCCGACATCGTAAACCTTGCGCAACTTGCGCCGCGCTCCAGCCAGAACCTACAACCACCACATCTGGTCAACATCCCCAGAACCACCGCCAAGATGAGTCGACGCGACTTCCTGTCGATGCCCGCGCCCGAGAACTATGTGGCTGGTCTCGGAAGAGGAGCCACTGGCTTCACAACGCGAAGCGATCTCGGTCCCGCGCGGGAGGGTCCCTCAGAGGAGCAGATGAAGGAGATGCTAGCAAAGCGTGCAGCATCGCTAGGCCAGGCAGCTCCCTCGGCGTATGGTGTCACCGAAAAGAAGGAGGAAGAGAGGGATGAAGAGGAGGATCGATTTCAAGATCCCGACAATGAAGTCGGTCTCTTCTCAAGCGGCATGAACTACGACAAGGACGATGACGAGGCAGACCGCATATATCAGGAGGTTGACGAGAAGATGGACAAGCGACGCAGAGCCAGAAGGTTAGTACCCCTAGTTTCTTTTACCCCATGCCTCTTCCCCTCCCCTCTATCGTTATTTTCGAAGTATTCATCGTGTGTTTTTCCACGAACAGATACCGATGTCCGCCCTAGGGAAGCTCGCGAGCAACAAGAACGAGACGAATACGAACGAAACAACCCCAAGATCCAGCTCCAGTTTGCCGATCTAAAACGAGCCCTCGGTGGCGTCTCAGAAGAAGAATGGGCAGCCCTGCCCGAGGTCGGAGATATGACGGGTAAAGCGAAGCGCGCACGCGAAGCTCGACTGGCAAATTCGAGGTCCTACGCCGTACCGGACAGTGTTTTGGCCGCGGCATCCAAGAGCGGCGAGCTTGATACCACGATATCGTCGGACGCTGACGGCATGACGACGAATCTCGCAAGTATCGGAGCTGCCCAACTGTCTGCCTTGACTGTACGGCTCGACACAGCAGCAAGCGCCCCTGGCACACAAACCACAACGACCTCTGGAACCTCGACGTCTGTGGATCCCAAGGGATACATGACGGCGCTCAACAAAAAGGAAGCTATGGGCGAGGAAGTTCCAGTTGAGGACATCAACCGCGCGCGCGTACTGCTAGAATCGGCTGTCAAGACTAACGTACACAATGGTCCGGGATACGTTGCGTTGGCGCGACTCGAAGAAGTGGCCGGGAAAGTTCACACAGCCAAAAAGGTCATTGCTCGCGGGTGCGAACTTTGTCCCAAATCGATAGTCGTGTGGGAGGAAGCTATCAGGCTGAACAAGGACAA